ATATTTCCATTATAGATTTCTCATACGATACTTCATGGAGTGATGGAAGCCCAGTTACTGCCAGGATTGTTAAAGACATGCAGTGAAACAATAATACAGAATTTTTGACAGTTATCTTTGTAGATGATGTTATTGCATATGCGTTTGTAGGAGTTTCATTTTTAGATGCAAATTGTATGGGAGAAGGGAACATGCTATGAAAAAGATAACGGACTGTTTATTTAAACCAAGGCTTCACTGAAAAAAACATTCAAAGATGATTGCTTGGATTTACTTTTTTTTTTTTTACGTTAAGTGGTTGTAAACAATTTATTTGGGCTGAATTCAAGCAGACAAATCAGATTTAATGTTAATCAATTAAATGAGTTTGTTTAAATTCAACACAGGCGACGCAGTGGCGCAGTAGCTAGTGCTGTCCCCTCTCAGCAAGAAGGTCGCTGGTTCGAGCCTCGGCTGGGTTAGTTGGCGTTTTTGTGTGGTGTTTGCATGTTCTGCCTGCGTTCGCCTTGGTTCCCTCCGGGTGCTTCGGTTTCCCCCACAGTCCAAAGACATGGTACAGTTGAATTGGGTAGGCTAAATTGTCCATAATGTATGAGTGTGTGTGAATGAGTGTGTGTGGATGTTTCTCAGAGATGGGTTGCGGCTGGAAGGGTATCTTCTGCGTTTACTTTTCCTCAATAATATTTGAACTATGCTAGATAAGATTGGCTGTGCTCTTAAAATCGCAGTCGAGAATAACGGATTGTCGCTTGTACCTATAAACGTGGTGGCTTTATTATTAGTGCTGCATGGATCAAACAATGAAACATTTAATCATTGTATATTATATTTAGTTTTTCCATGCCTAAATATTCATATTTCACTGCTCTAATAGGGAAAATAAATGATTAATGGCATTCCTGATTTAGATCACAAAGCGAGCAAGCTTTTTGGACTTCAAACCATCTGATCTGTCACTGAGGACCACCTGTTCTGTGCATCTCTGCTGTGCTGGGCATGGCAGACCCTTTTGTTTCAGCTTGTGTGTCTCAGTCTCTTATCTCCCGTCCTTGCCAAAAAGAGGGTTTGCCCACTACAACCATGGAAACCAGCAAACAATAGCTTTTACTTTTTGAAGGAGGGAAGAAAGGAAGGAAAAGGTCGAGTGGGATTGCTCAGCGTGGTAAAGGAGATCTGTGTCGCGTGGTAATCTGCCCTGGGGAGATGAGCGTGAGAGCTGTCAGACCTATGACACAGTTGGAGGTTACCCACATTCCTGGGTGCCATAAGAAATGGAAGATTGTTCACTTGTATCCAGGGGAAACAATGACTGATGATTAAATGTCAACCTAATCTTGATAAATTTCTTCAAGGTGGGGTCACATTTACTGCTTTTCAGCAGTTTTTTGTTGGTTTTCGGTTATAAATTTCATTTCGTGTAAAGGCAAAGTCTCATTTAAAGGGGTCGTTCACCCCAAACTGAAAACTCTGTCATCATTTACTCACCAAACCTGTTTTACTTTCTTGCTTTTGTTCTTTCCTCACAAAAGAAGACATTTTGAAGAAAGTTGTACTATTGACTTTCGATGTATTTATTTTTCCTACTATGAAAGTCAGGTTTTCAGTTTTCCTTAAAATACAGTATCTTCTTTAGTATTTAGCAGAATAAATAAACTAGGGCTGAACAATATATTGTTTCAGCATCACCCAAGAACCATCCAAAAAAATATCCTACAAATTCCAATGAATTAGGCCCAGGACACTGATGGATATCTCCTGATAACACCAGGCCCAGTCACTTCAATTCCTTTGCATTTGTCTGATGGGACGTTGTTTTTTTGGACAGTGAAGCCACAGGTGATAAAAATCTGAAAAAAAACAACGCCCTTCTCAAAGCCGAAGTGTTTACATCCACCTCGTATTTGATTATCCTTACTCTCATTATTAAAAGAAAAGTAATCTTCCACTTCTATTAAAAAGAGTATAAAACTAAGAGAAACTGAGCAGTGTGATTCAAAGTTTCAGTCGACGTCATGCTCACTCGAGAAAATGTCTACTATAAAGCTACAGGTCGCTCACATATTATATGAAAAGCACTTCTCACAAAACAGACGCTTTACACACATAAATACTTCTGTATAAATGTTTATTACTAACTTTTCTATGAACATGAGTTGATTATAACTGCAGATCAATGACAGTACGAAATAGTCTACTGTAACGTCTGTAATTATTTTAAATAAATAAATAAATGAACATATATGAACACATACAGACACTTACAGTCCTCGATATGTTACCAACTACAGAAAAACTACATGCAGCATACATTTCGTCCTTAATTAGGTTTAAAACAACACAAAGTATAGCCTACAGTCAGTGAAAACCTCTCATCTGTGTCTGTAATCTTCAGCAGCACATGTAGCCTCTGTTAGAGTGTCACTCCATCATTCCCAGTTCATATTAGTCCAAAAGGTGATAATAAAAATTAAAACAAGGCAGTCTGTTCACGTTTGCTGAAGAAATAGCGTGCTCCTTGGCTTTCCATTTTTTTCCGCGCTCCACTCTCGCGTTTGTCCTTTTCTTTCTGAATGTGTCATTCTCGCGTTTGTCAGTTTCTCACAGGATTGGGTTTCCAAAGCTTGTCAATAGTCGTTATTATAATCAGCTCAAGAAGTTAGTTATTTCAGATATAGACACGCGGCGAGCGCAAGTAGTCTCTCGTTGTGTATTTCAAACATGGCAGGTCCTTTGTTTAAATTCTGGCTTGTTGCATAAGCGAATGATGTATCTCTGTAAACCAATAGCGTTCAGCTGCGCATCTAGCTCCGCCTTTTGGTACCCTTTCTTATGTTTGGGACCCTTTCGAAAGGGTGCCGAAAAAGTGGTATGGTACGGTTTGGTTTGGTACGCCTTTTGACAGTGGAAACGGCGTACCAAACCGAACCGTACCACTTAGTGGAAACGGGCCATAACACTCCACATATGCCTGCCGCCATTTTTTCGCCATTACCTGTCAGAGTCAAAATTAGTGATGGTGTTTAAGATTTTAAAGAAAATGCTCCCAAAATGTTTTCTTAATTATTATGTGTTAGTTAGTGAGGTATCTTCATGCATACAAGATTGACATTTAATACCGAAACAACTTCCTTTGGATTTGACCATAAAGAATATTTAAAAATAAATAAAATATACCAGTCGATTTAGATGAGAATAGCAATAATCCAAAATACTCAAGTGCAGACAAATCGTTTTTTAAAAGTCTGCTATCGAGCTACGAAAACAAACCTGGAGTATCCAAACTAGGCTAAATGCTGCAGAGTTTTAATGTCAAAGAAAACTGTAGTTTTTTTTTTTTTTCATTAACTGCCTTGTTATTCCTTACATCGAAGCAAAAACTGAATAGGTCTAAATAGACTACTATAATAAAGAAAATCTGCTCTAAATTTTAAACTAAATAAATGGCTGAATACTCTTGACACATGAAAGTATGGCGACGCAGTGGCGCAGTAGGTATAATTGAATATTTGAGTAGGCTCACATGAATAATTGAATATTAATCAGATGATGTCATTATGCTGCTGTGTTGTCAGACAATTGTTGCATTGCTGATCATGATTTCGAGGATCGATAGATCTGTCCTCACAAACACATTAATCTCAGATCCATTCATCCAGACATTTGAACCTGATTGGTGAACTTGTTTGAAGAACCAAATTAGCCAGAGATCATTCATCAAGATTAAAAGATCCAGGATCTGCCAAATCATCTTAGATCATTTAGGTTTGGTATGAAGAACGGACCCCAGGACTGGTCTATTGTCTTCTTAAAGCACATTGGTTGTATAATATGGGGTTGAAAAAATGGGAAGCATCTGCAACAGCCCAAAAGACTCAATCAAGGAGCAAAAGTTGGTCTTATTTTTGCTCAGTTCACACCGACACAAAGTGTCAGTATATCCAATTATCATTTGCAATTATCACATATTATCATCAATTATCACTATCATGTTATAGTCTCTGTCATCACAAAAAAAACAACAAAAAAAAACAGCACATCATATTGCGGTTTGGACTTGGATTACCCATTATTTGCCTTGAATATCGGCTTAAACCGACATGTGAGACACCATATTTAGATATAAATTTCTATTCAATCATTAGACAGAATCCAGGATATTAAAGGGCACCTAGGTAACCACTTTTTCAAATTTAGTATAATTCTTTTGCGTCTCTAGAATGTGTATGTAAAGTTTCAGCTCAAAACACCCATCAGCATTTTCAAAAGTATCCGTTTTTGTGGGTTGAAGCAAGCGGCAACCTCCCGCTCTCCCTCAGGAAGCCAATACGGAAGTAACTAAAACTGCAATTCATCCGAAATTCCGCTAGTCCTGGCCGCTCCTGGCTCCAAAACAGAGTAAATTTCAATTGAGCCCACTGTTAGAATGTTTACAGCCTGGTACAAGAAAAGATTTTGGTTAATACAGCTAATATTACCCTTCATGACAACTGTGAGGTGGGTGAATTTTTTTATTACTCATCCGTTTCCTTTATATTAAGTTATATTAAGTTTGCATAATTAGGGCGTGGCCACTTGATTGACAGCTAGGTCTCACTGGTCGCCGTCACGTCACCTCAGCTGAATCCTGCAGATTAGCCACTGATCTTGGCATATTTATCATATTTCTGTGTTGTTTTATGTGGCTTTACACAGTCAACTGCCTTTTGGACTTGTTTCCTACAATTATTAGATGGCATGGCATGCTGAGTGAACTTAATTGTGCTCACAAAGCATTCACGTGGCCTCCGTTTCCCATGTGAGTAAAGTTATATACTTATATACCATCTCTGTACATGTATTTGTTTTATTTATTTAAGATCATTTATCATTTATATTTATATTTAGAGCTGTAATGCACTCCAGAATCTGACGAATTGATTAGCTGTGGGCTGTAGAACAGTCATCTGAAGCATTGTCATAAAGTGTTATGCTGGATTTCATCAATAGTCTTACATTAACTAACACAGACTATATCTGAAGTGTTTGGAAGTAATTCGCGTTTTCCTCCTGTTGGAAAAACCTCATAAGAACAATTTTTAGTGGCTCAATGTATTACAGCGGTGTTTTTAAAAGTCTAAACACTTTATTGATATAGTATACAACCAAGCACAAGTGGTCAGAATACAAACGAGTCACAGGTGATAAAGTATTAAGCATTTCTCCCAAAGTAAAGTGTGTCTGAACCAGGTCCAAGCTAAATGCTAGCAGGTGTCTGTAGCTCCGCTCACTCTCCACCTCTTTGCCCTTGTTTGGTATCCCGCCGTGGGTGTGATGACACGCGAACAAAATGGCAACGGTTGGCCGCGCTTACTTGTGGCTTCTTTTGCACTCTGTAGAAACCTATGGGTGACGTCACGGATACTACGTCCATATATTTTACAGTCTATGGGTTGAAGGTGTAACCATAGCAAACATTAGACGTTTTAAGTCTGAAGCATTAGTGGTAATTACTTTCTGCTCCTTTGAATTTCACCCATGTGTTGCTAAACATTTAAGAAACGTCTCTATTGGTAAGGAGAACCTTACTATTCTTTTTTATTTAATAAATGGTTACTTTAGGTTCTAGTAGTTGAGTAGTCGTTTAGACAACTTCCTGATTGGTTGATATTGAAAATGTGCTTTTGAGCATCCCTAGAATGTATAATATTTACTTGAAGATGTTGAATAAATGAGAGGATGTGTTGGGACTTCAGTAGTAATGTGCAGATTTTCTTACGACTGGTGCATATTTGTGTGGGATTTGTCTTTGTATGTCAAGGTTCAGAGGTCGTTTCAGGATCAGGGGGTTCTTTAGATTATTACTCAGAGGTCTGAGATGCATGTTGAACAATGGCAAGATTGTTTGTTGAACAATGCTGAATTCATTTGTGGAAAAAGCACTTCTGGAACAACATAGAGGAGTGACATCAAAGACAAACTGGCTTTTTTTTTTCTCTCACTGCGCTCAGAGTCTTAATTCAGATCGTTCTCGTTATGCAAAGCGATGACAGAAACAGTCCTAATTTGGTCGTTGTGACACAAACAAGGTTGTTATTTGTAAGAAAAATGTAGCATGCAGTCACATCACCTTGGGATATGCTTCGAGTCGCATCAATATGCTTGGGATATGCTTTTTAAAGCTCTGTAACTTGGTCAAATCAGGCTCTAGATTTTGTTGTGATCAAATGTTTGCAAGGGCAGCGGGACCGCATTTGAAATCTGTTCACCATTAGCTTAAATGCCAGCCATGTGAAGACTTTTTGGATGATGTCACTAGGCTGTCAAACGGCCATTAATTTTATGTTATTGCTTACTGAAAGAGGAGCAACCACTAACCTCATCAGAGACATTATAGTCTCTGTCGTCACAAAAAAAAAACAAAAAAAAAAAAAAACAGCACATCGTACTGCAGTTTGGACGTTGGATTACCCATTATTTGCCTTGGATATCGGCTTATACCGACATGTGAGATACCATATTTAGATATAAATTTCTATTCAATCATTAGACAGAATCCAGGATATTAAAGGGCACCTAGGTAACCCCTTTTTCAAATTTCATATAATTCTTTTGCGTCTCTAGAATGTGTCTGTAAAGTTTCAGCTCAAAACACCTATCAGATGTTTCATTATACCTTTTACTAGATCCTGTTTTATACATCTTTCCACCAGGGGGTCGTTTTGTCGTACTGTAAGGCGAGTCCTCCCCGCCTACTGTTTCTACGTGCCTTAAATCTCCTCCCTCGGCTGCGTCAGACAACAGACAGGCCTAAAGGAAGAAGGTTTCACGCAGCGTTTGTGAGAAATACTACAGTAAGAACTTCACCAATCAGTATTTGTTGTGCAGTTGCATTGATGAGTGGCACACAATATCTTTACAAAGCACACACACACCGCAGGAGACACACACACACACTGACAGACAGAGCGCGCTTAGCTTAGCATTGTTTCTGCACGCAAATGTGTCAGGAAGCAGGTTAATCTCCACTGCTGCATGGATATCTGTTATGTTAATGTACAAAATAAACCTGATTTAACGTCCACAAACCGGGATTGAAGCGTCTTCCTTTATAATTGTTCTGACATGTGGCTGGTCTAATGAAGTAACGCTGAAGTAAATCATTGTACTTCATTAGTTTTAAAACACTTTAAACATGTGAAACTTACTCTTGATCACATCTGATGATGATTGATGATCCTAGCGAACTGAACAGACCTTTTATTCCCGGTTGCTTTGCGCACATCTGGTCTTGTTGACATGATTATACACGTGACTGCCGGGACATGCTACGCGAAGCTGTCAATCAATTCAGTGGGCGGGGGGACCGCACTCCTACGTCAAGTTGCGGTTTGTCTGAAAACCACTCCAATTGGTCCAACGTTTTTATGTTGTTAAATTGAAAAAAAAGGACTGGGTGTGTTTATTTCACCCCAATATGACAGTCTATACACTACATATACACACATGTCTGTCCAAAGAGCTTGAAAAGTAGATTTTTCACCATAGGTGCTCTTTAAATGTAAATAAAAGGAATTTCAAAAGCTCCTCATTAAAATTAAAAATGTACTCAGTGGAGTTTAATTGTAAACAAGCTAATTTTGCATGTATTTTAAAGGTCTGTCAAGCTTGTGAAAAGCATTTCCTTTTCTATTTGTGGTGAATTAATATCATAATGAATGTCTATACCATATTATATGGTCATCATAATGTTTTTTGACCATACTGCCAAGATGTAAGCAGTTGTTTTAGCAATTTGTAAATAATCATCTGTTAAGTTACTCTTTTTCATAGCCGGCGTTGACAGTCCACCGCCATTCCATCATCTCCATACTCTCTAATTTTCACAAATAACTAGTTTGTAGTGCGTCTCGCCATGTCACTGTCAAACTTGATTCCTTCTCGCCACTTTCTATTTTAAGCCGCTCACCCATTTCTCACTGTCGTATGATGTAATGCCTTGTATTTCGGAGATCAGAAAGGCCTGTTCATCGGCGAGCGTTAAAGTTCATTTTCCGGGAATGGAGCACATAATAGGTGTGTGTGATGGGTGGACCCGCTGGTTCCGACTAATCATTAACACCGGCAATAGCAAAACACGCGTCCTGACCTGGTTTCTCAAACACTTTCACGCCAGGCCAAATTTACTCCGTCCACACTCCAGCCCATTAGCTTAATTCTGGATGGCTGTGAATGCTCCTTTTTTTAATGCCAGGGGAAGGTTGAATGATGAATGTGGCCGTCAGATTGGACAGACATCCAAAAGAGGCCAGAAAAGAAAGAGTAAAAGAGATGACTGGAAGATTCGTACTAAAGAAAGTGGAAGGCCTTTTTTTTCCTTGTCTCTCTTTGTTTGTGCTCCCTCTTTTCCCCTCTTGCCAGTGTTTTTGTGCTGGGTAAAGAGCCCGAGAGAATCTCTATAGAGTGCTGATGCAGCCGGAAAGAAGTCTTTCTTTAATTCCCACTCGAAATTCCCACTTGAGGGGGAAGGCCAGGCCAGCTGCATTTTGGGAAAGTAAGGGTACATCTATAATGCTGTTGATTTCTCCTGTGCTCTTTTTCTTCTTTTACTTGTTTTTTCTTATTTTCCCTTCAGGAAATGTAAGAATTTTATCATTTATATTTGTTCGTCATTTCACCGCAGTGGTGTCAAGGAAAAATAATTTATACAATTTGTTAAATACAATATTTACAGTTGAAGTCAGAATTATTAGTCCCCCTGTTTATTTTTTTCCACAATTTCTGTTTAATAGAGAGAAGAGTTTTTCAACACATTCCTAATCGTAAGTTTTAATTACTCATTTCTGACTTGTTTTATCTCTGCCATGATGACAGTAAACGATATTTGATAAGATATTTTTCAAGACACTTCAATACAGCTTAAAGTGACATTTAAAGGCTTAACTAGGCTAATTAGGTTAACTAGGCAGGTTAGGGTATTTAAGTTGTTGTATAACGTTGGTTTGTTCTGTAGACTATCTGTGAAAAAAATAGCTTAAAGGGCTAATAATTTTGACCTTAAAATCCTGTATTTTTAACGACCACAGAGTCAGGACTTTGGTTTAATGTCTTATCCAAAATACAGTGCTCACTGAGCAGTATAGAGTCCCCGTTCCTATACTGGGCCGTTAAGATCCACACAGACTGCAAGTTGGGCACCCCCTGCTGGCCTCACTAACACCACTTCCGGAAGCAACCTAGTTTTCCCATGTGGTCTCCCATCCAGGTACTGATCAGGAGAGGCCCTGCTTAGCTTCAGTGGGCGACCATGTGAGAGTTGCAGAGAGCTAGCAGCCGGCATCAGCAGCAGTAGTAGTAACTGAATTTTTCACAGTACTGAATATTTTACAATTTATTTTCATTCCGCTGATTATTTCTTCACTTTATTTTTGATAAAATTACAGATTCTAAGTTCTGTTTGTTTAAACTAAAAGTGTCTTGCAGTTCTGTTTTTGTAATTACATTGGTCTTCTCTCCTTTTTGGCTGCTCTGAAAAATGGTCCAATCCGTGACTAAACAAATATGGGATTTGTAATCTGTTAAACCACTACAAATGGCCACTAAATCAAAACTGATATGTGATTGCATTGTAAATTTTATTCATTCATTCATTCATTCATTCATTTTCTTGTCGGCTTAGTCCCTTTATTAAACCGAGGTTGCCACAGCGGAATGAACCGCCAACTCATCCAGCAAGTTTTTACTTAGCGGATGCCCTTCCAGCCGCAACCCATCTCTGGGAAATGTAAATTTTATATTTTGTGTTAAAAACACAAAACAAAATAGCAGCACATTTTTATTTGAGCTTCGTTTGATTGGTATTTGGACAGCTTTATCAATAAGAAGGCGTTTCAAAAATACTCCATGTATTGTAAGGGCTTCTATGAACAATACAGCATTCCTTTAATACCTTCCGCTTTTATTTGATAAAAAAATATATATGTCTTGCTGACTTAAATTTTTTAATTTAATCAAATTACTTTTCTAGTCAACTCAACTTACATCAATCAAACTGACTAAAAATATTAAGTAAAACTTTGTAGAACTTACAGTGCACAGGTCATTTCTTTGGTTCCTATGGCTTCACGATGAACCTTTAATATCCATGAAACCTTTTTATTGCACAAAAAGAACCTTAAAGTTTAAAAAAACAGCTTATTAAACAGTTAGTCCCAAGTTAGCACGTGTACACGTATCTGACGAGCATGTTTTCAGCAGGAAGGCTTAATTTGTTTTGAGCATTTGCACATCTGCATCGCATGTTTCCTGTCAGATGTTAGATAGACATTTGTACACAGACGTTTGTGCAGAACAGATGCTTTCCAGACCAAGCACTCTTTAAAAACACTTAGCAAATAATATAGCATGCCTCTAGCGATGGCAAGGCTGTCTATTTGATTCGCAAGGGAAAGCAAGAACTGATCTGTCAAAGCAATGTTAGTCATTTTAGATGAAAGCTCCTGCCAAATTGCATAAATGTCGTGAATGAAAGTTTTGGATTTGTTTGCTAAATGGTTCTCTCGAATGCTTCTACTTGTAAATGGTCGCTGATCATAATTTGGTCGTTAATCCCCATTTTAGCCAGATATTTGGCAACCGCTTCGCGTGCGAGACATATTTCGGTGGGTTAAGCGAGTGTGAGCTGGACATTTGCCGAGCGGATGTATTAGTGGTATTAAATGCTTTTAGTCCCTCGAGAGCCGGGCTCAGAGTGCTAAGTGCTTCTGGACTATGGGAACACGTCTTGGCCTAGGATGGATCAATTCAAGGTCAGAGAGTGGCTTCCTTCTGCTCTCATCTTTATAAACATCGTGCACCGTTGGCCACCGGATGTAAGACTTTTTGCAGACAAGAAGTGGAATACAAACATAGATGTGATTTATTTTTTTCTGGATGTTTTATGATGGCCGATTTCACCAAGTATGTTCCTGGATGAACATCTGTGTTTGTCCTGGATCAACATTTCAATCAGTGAGTCAGATTTAAGGGATAGGTTTATGATTTAAGTTAAGTTTAGGCTTAAAGTCAGGCGTTATGTGCTTCAAAATCATTGTTATCCAAGGATTTTGGGAATAATTTACAGTTAGGGCTAGGTTTTGGGATAGGGATTAGGTAGGGATTACATTTTTGAACGGGAATGATGTTCCAGGATCAGCATAGTTGTTAAACCAGGATCGCATCCTACTTTGCATTCAACCAATGCAGATCACACTCACCCTATCAGTTAATATACACTCACCGGCCAATTTATTAGGTACACCTTACCATGTTGGACCTACGTTTGCCTCCAGAACTTCCTTAATCCTTGGTGGCATATATTCAGCAAGACACTGGAAATATTCCTCAGAGATTCTGCTCCATATTGACATAATAGCATCACGCAGTTGCTGCACATTTGTCGGCTGCACATCCATGATGCGAATCTCCCATACCACCTCATTCCAAAAGTGCTTTGTTGGATTGAGATCTGGTGACTGTGGAGGCCATTTGAGTACAGTGAACTCGTTGCCATGTTCACGAAACCAGTCTGAGATGATTCGCGCTTTATGACATGGTGTGTTATGCTGCTGGACGTAGCCATCAGATTATGGGTACACTGTGGTCATAAAGGTATGGACATGTTCAGCAGCAATACTTAGGTTGGCTGTGGTGTTAACACGATGCTCAATTGGTACTAATGGGTCCAACATTTTCATTAAATAACTAACTTTTATATTATTTATATTTTAAATCGATTGCTTATTTTTGTTTAGTTTCACTTTTGTGTTGAGTTTGAATTATAAGAGATTGTTTTTGTACACTTTCCCACTTTTGC